TATACCATCTGCTTCCTATGATATTTCTCAACATAAGGTAGAGTATGGAGTTTCTTTAGAATTAGTCCTAGGTAATCACTGCCCCCCAAACTTGGTTTTGCAGTTAATCAGCTCTCTTGCATTTTGAGAGATCCAGTATGAATCCTACCATGAGCATGAAGGGATAGCTAGCTGCAGAGGAGGGATGTTTCTTCCTGTAACAGAACCAAGAGCACCTGGGTACTGGAAATCAGTCCTTGCCTTGACTGTCATCAGTAGCATTTTATCCCTCCTGCCACACACAGTATTTTATGAGTCCACTAGTTACCCAAGAAAGTACTTTGTCATCATTTAGCATCATGCTGGGAACTGCTCAGTCCTTCAAAGCTTTGACATAGCACTTTAAAACTGATTAATATAGGCAGCCATCTCTGCTGAGAAGTGGAGAAGACTGTATGATCAGAAAGGAAATCAAAGGAAATCCTTGATTTAGATTTTTAATGAGGATAAAATTCAGCTCTAGAGAAGAGAGCTAATAGGCTGTGTTTACTATTCAGTACAAATATTCCTAAACTAGCTGCCTGAGAATCACTTCTCAAGCTGGAATGGTAGGCACACAGTGCTATACCCATCTGCACCCAGCTAATAATCCATACAGCCCTACCACTTCTGTTCATCACTACCCTGGGATCTCTGCATCACACTGGTGTGAGGTGGAGAGAGAGGTGCTTACAGAGAATCTGGAAACAGCTGAAAGCAGTGGAAGGAAGAGCTGTGAAGCATGAGTTGTTCACAGGGCAGGGGCTTTCTGTGGTTACAGAAGGAGAGTTCTGGTTAATTTGGCACAGCATGTAACCAGATGCAATTTGCCTTTTACTAGATTAACAATACTGAGTTTGGGGACCTCACTCTGCTCACATGGTGAGCATCCTCACTGGCTGGTACCTTCATAGCACCACACCCTGGACAGTGCCCTGGCTTGGATTGTACATGAGGGGCTAGTGTCCCTGTCTAACTAACCTTCAACAGGGCACCTTTACCAGTCTCTGCTCTGCTTTGGTTAGTTACACATTATTGGGTGCCTACTCATGTTAACAAATGCAATCCCAAGGAAGTTGTAGTTTGAAGCTTTTGTTATGCAGATAAGCATAAACCCAATGTGTTATGCATTTGTTATGCATTGCTTATTTTCCAAAGTGTTCACTAATGTAATGTGTTAAAACCCTTATTCCCTTGTGATTTTTTTTCTTCTGTTTAGGAGATTATTGGGTGCCTACTCATGTTAACAAATGCAATCCCAAGGAAGTTGTAGTTTGAAGCTTTTGTTATGCAGATAAGCATAAACCCAATGTGTTATGCATTTGTTATGCATTGCTTATTTTCCAAAGTGTTCACTAATGTAATGTGGTGTTAAAACCCTTATTTCCTTGTGATTTTTTTTCTTCTCTTTAGGAGAACATATTATTATACCACAATGGCCAAGGTTCAGTTAAAGTTATTGATTTTGGATCAAGCTGCTATGAACACCAAAGAGGTTTGCAGAAAAGTCAAGTTGATGTAATTTTCTTAATAAGCTTTATTAATTTTAAACAATGTGGGAAAACTACTTTTTTTGTTGAGCTAATATAGTGACCTATAATGCCTCTAATTAAAATCTGATGAACTGTTCAGCCACTGGTTGTGGAAGAAATACTGGCAGGAGGCAAGTAAGCTATTACTGTGCTTTTTCTTTCCCAAGCCTGATCAGCTCCTCTACTCCTATTGAAATCAGAACTGCATTTGCAAGAGTGATTAGCTGAAATAAATTGACAAGGATAATCCCAGTCCTTAACAAGGAGTTTATCAGGTCCAGAGAGCCTTTATCAGTCGAATGGTAAAGTTATAATTGGTACTTTATGGATAAATACAGTGGGGGGAATAGGAACTATGATTTTAGTTTAGAAAGCTGAAGTTCAATTTTAATATTTTTCCTAAGATTTCAGTAGAATGTGCAGGAGATAACTGGACAAAGTTTGTAAATGAGAAATGAATGCATGAAATTTCACCTAATAATAAATCTTAGCATTAATAAGCATATTGTAAAGCAAGAATGATATCATCAGAAATGAAAAAGAAAAAGGAAAAAAAAAAATCCCAAACAAGCAATAAAACCCAAAATCCAAGAAATAAATCTACACTGCCTTTTATTAACTTAAAAAAACAAAGTTTGTCTTAAATGGCTCATATTTTTCCTATGATTGATAGTTAAAATGAGCCAAACCTGTTCATCTATATTTTGGGATTTAGACCATTAGATTTACATCCCAGTTTTGTAGGAGTGTGTAATCATTTTAGGTTTGCCAATGTTTGAGTAGAATGTAATCCCAGATGCAGCCTGAAATATTTGTGGAGAGTAATGTAACACAAAACAGGTGTAAACTAAAATGGAGCATGACTGAGGAAACTGTCAGCTGAAACAAGAATTGGTACAACATTCAAAAGTAGTAAAGGACTAGGAAGTAGAAGACAAAAAATCAGCTAGCTATTTGTGACAAGAATATTAAAAAGCAGACAATTATGTAGTTACTCAGATGCACAGGGGCACAGGTTGCCACCATGGTACTCTCCTCTAACTGTCCAGATTTGGTGCTACACTTACTTTTCAGGGCATTTTCATTCCAGAAAGATGTTGAATATATGGGGATGCAAAGAAGTGCAGAACAATAAATGAAGGGACCATCAGAGAGAGAGGAATAAGAAGATTACAGAGTTTGCAATCTGTAATCACGTTCAGCTCTCTGAATGACAGGAGGTAAACTGAGTCTACTCACTCTGAGTCCCAGTCTTGGAAAGAGATCTTTTGACATCTGCTGTGGGACTATAAGACATTAACAGGGAAATCAGAAGGCAGTAGGAGGTGTTCCCTAGGTGTCAGTGAAACCAGCATTTCCTACAGTGCAAGCCTATGGTAATGAAGAACTGTTGACTGACTCAAGGTGAATACCCCCAAATAGGAAAATGAACATGGAGTAACCTGAATCACCACATTAGTGGAATAATTTCTTGCAGTGAAACTTTTGTAGAGCAATTCCCAAGTGCACTAGTGGAAAGCTTATCACCCATTGATTGTAGGACGGCATTAGAAAAAGGTTTTTGGAGCCTATGTGAGCAATCCCTTAACATCAACCAATGGATAGAATAGATACAGGATGGCTGAACATGTATTCCACTTTTCTGTGAAATCTGGAGTCCACATTTCTGTCCCAGTTATGATATCTGCTTCATGTCTCATTTTCTGTGTTGATATAGTGTATACCTATGTTCAGAGCCGGTTTTATCGCTCACCTGAAGTGATTCTTGGTCACCCTTATGCTATGGCTGTTGACATGTGGAGCTTAGGCTGCATCATAGCTGAGCTTTACACAGGCTACCCACTGTTTCCAGGGGAAAATGAAGTTGACCAACTTGCCTGCATCATGGAGGTAACTTTTGGGATTGTCTTTTGAATTACATATTCATTTGATAAACTACACGGCCAGCAACAAAGGGAAAATCTCAAGAGGTGATGAAATATAATTGGCTATGGGCTGGCCTTTCAGAGAAAGGTTTATTACAGCCAAAGGGCTCTTGGAGAGAATGGGTGCTAAGACAAAACTGTTCTTTCTGTTTCATGTGCCAAACACTGCTTTACACACTCATGGTTTTGCTTCTGAAGGAAATATATTTTAATCCAGTGAGAATTTATACCGAGAAGTAAGAACTCAAATCAGATCTCTTTAGTCCAAACTACTGCTGAGCAACATGTTTCTGCTGACATTTGAGTAGTTGCCTGTGGCTTTGTCTAGCAAATCTTGAAAACCTCAAAGGTTTGAATAGAAACCTGCTGTGTGACTTGCTGAAGTGCTCTTCTACTCTCCTAGTGAAAAATCTTTCCTAATAGCCACCTTGCACTTCTCAAGCCCCTATTTGTGGATGGTGCCTGTTCTTATACTGTCTGTCCCTACCAAGGAGTTTGGCTCTATCATCTTTGTAAATGTTTTTCAAAGACTTTCAGGAATATGCAGTGACATCCTGCCTCAGATCACCTACCCAGTGTAAATGTTAGAACAGGGGTAAAACCTTATCTATGAAAGCAAGTTACTTAGTTACTCCATACTAATCATTAAACTGCAACCTGTTGTTGAATTCAGCCCCAAACTGTGATCCTTCCAGTGACATGTTAGTTTGTACAAGATTTTTCAAAGACAGCATCTCTCCGTGGGGCCTTCTACAGCAGCTGTCATTAACAGAGATACTTGTTCTTGGAGCATTCTCTGGTAGTGAGGATCCCAGTGTCATCCTTTATAAGATCACATTTTCTGTGTGCAGACAGCTCTGAGGAATCCCTTAATTCCTTCCACAATAAATGGCACAAAAGGAAATGGTTTGTAGACATTCCACAGTAAATTGCCACATTCAACTTCTTTTCAAATGGAGGGTGAAATGCCACAGTTCACCCGATGGTTATTTTGTATGTTTATGAAATGTGAAGTAACTCCATAAATTCATTTTCTGTGTTGAAGGTATTGGGTCTTCCACCAGCTGATTTTATCCAGGCTGCATCAAGGAAGCGAACGTTCTTTGGTAACTGCTTCTGATTGTTCTTGCTGGATTCCTGCCTGCTAGTTAATCACTAGTTAATAGCACTGGTGGAGAGTAGGGTTAAAGCTGAGGAGCAGCAAGAAGGCACCATGAGGCTTACCAATAAACCTGGTGCTGTGCTCTTCCTGTCTTATGGCCCTCTCATTGCCAGGGTGGTGGAGAAGGGATGGGGAAATCCATCTTCCTGTTACTCCTTCAAACTATTACTACTAGAAGGAACATAATGGGCTTTGAGAACTGATTTATATTAAGTTCATTCTTCTGTGCATAACTTGGGTTTGGAAATTACACAAAATGGACAAAAAGCCACAGTAGGGCATGTAGTCCCTAAGTTGTAACCAATATTGATTGCCACAATGCAGGCAGGCTATCAATCCAACAGGGCAAAACCAGAGTTAGAGGGAAGGATATGGATACTGGTTTTGCAACTTTCTTAAATATTTGGTGAAGATTTTTAACATTATTTTTTGAGCATGTCTGTTTTCTTTTTCTTTTTCTTTTTTTTTTTTTAAGATTCCAAAGGTTTTCCTAAAACCATAACTAACAGCAAGGGGAAAAAGAGATGCCCAGACTCCAAGGATCTAAGCACGGTGCTGAAAACCCATGATGCTGGTTTCTTGGATTTTCTGAAAGGATGCCTAATGTGAGTTCATAGTTTTGACTATTATAGACAGCAGGCTGGTTTTGACTTTGCTTTCATTCTTGTGTGCCTTTAAAATCTTTGTATCAGTCGAGATGTTTTGGTAGGATGTTTTGGCTTTTGTGTTTGGTTTTGGTTTTTCCACATGGCAGCATCTGGATAACTATTATTATTACCTGGTTATTGCAGAGGGAAATCATTGCACAGAAAGACTGTATGGGATTAGTTCAGGGTACAAAAAAAAAGCATATCTTCTGATGCTGGAGACTAAATTCTAAAAGCAACATTTTTTCTAAAGGCACAGTTACCAGAGTGTTACCCTGTGGCTTGAATGCTGATTTAAGCCCTTTTCCTCCTTGTGATAGTTATACTTAGTTTTCATTGGTAGCAGCCACGTTATACATGTCAAGAATTATTTGATAGACTGTATTTTTCCATTCTCTTGATTGGAATAGATTTTTATAAATCACTGGAGCTCAGAATATGAGAACAATCTAATGTCTCAGATCTTGTCACTTCCAGGACAAACTGTTGACTTCATTCCATTTAGAGATTTTGCTACTGAATACCCAGTACGACAAGTGGTCTACAGCTGGTTTCCTAAATCAATTATTTGAACATTTTTGTCAACTGCTAAACACAAATAACGTGTAATTGTTGACAGTCTTCACACAAGGTAAAAATGGAACAGATCCTATACGTCAGGAACTTTATACCTAGCATCACAGAATAATCTAGATTCAAAGGGACCTCTGGAAGTCACCCTAGCCCACTCTTCCACTTAAAGCAGAGGAAACCTGGAGCAGGCTGCTCAGGACCTTGTCAGGTCAGGTTCTGAGTTCTCTTCAAAAAAGGAGAGAGATCCACAGCCTCCTGGGGCAACCTGTTCCATTAGGAAACCACACTCATGGTGAGAGTGGCAGTGGCAAACTGTCTGTGTGTTTGTGTGGAGGAAGAGAGAGACATGATTTAGTGTCACCAACCTATCATCTGTTATCACAAAGTAAATGGAAGTTTTTAACAGATGAAATACTGTGGGGGAAGCAACTATTTCATTTCTCAGGTATGATTTTGTACCTTTTCCAAGGTGGTCAGATAACTAACCATGTTACAGGGTGGGACTCCATGGACCCTGTTGATATGAGGTGTCATTTCACTAACAGTCTTTGTGCTTGGGAGGTGATTACTAATGAGGTTTTACTCATTCATCAAACTAAAAGACTGAACATACAGGAATAGACTTTGTCTGCTTGCCTTAAATATTGATTTCTTGCATAGGTGCAGTAAGGCTTTTGGGGTGAGCTTGGATCCTAATTTGTACTGTGTAGTGGCAGCGGAAGCTGGTCCCATGCCTTTCCCAGTGTTACCCGTGTCTAATGCAAGGCTGATATTTTGTGTCTTCTTTAGCACCAACTTTAAGTTTCTTTTTAGCAGTTCAGTACTGGTTTCCTAAAGAAATCCATGGGGAAAAAAAAAAACAAAAAAGCACCCAAACAAAACAACCCCAAAACAAAAATGATCCATCTCTGTTTCACAAGAAGATTGCTTTTAATGTTCTGTTTGTTAAATCTGTGTGAATCATTGAGCCATTTTGGTTTGCTGGCTGAATCAGAACATTTAGAAAATAATTTCGGTGAAGCAAAAAGAACCCTGTAAACAAGTCATTTCAGTTCACACAGGAAAAAAAGTTATACATTGGGAATGTTTAAATTTTCAAAGGAATGAATTAAAGTTTTAAATTAAAACTCTTTTTGAGATAAAAAGAATTGAACTATCTTTCAGCTGCCAATCTGTCTGTCCAAAGCCTGATACATTTGCCATGACTTTACAAACACTTTTGTTCAACTTAATATACACTTGGTTTGTGGATGAAAACATCAGAGAAAACAAAATTCACTCGTCTCTTGTATGACAAGAATCTTTGTTTTCCTACTTATTTCTGTACAGTTCTGCACAGCACTGAGATTAGACCAATCCAAATGAAATAGTCTGCAACTGATACAGAGATCAGTAACAGAAATATTAGGGTTGTTATGCACGCAGTAGAAATAGAAATGTGTATGTGTTTGACCACTGGAAGAAACAACAGAACAGGGGTTGAAAGAATGGTATGTATTATTCACAAAGGACACTGCTCCCCCTGGTAAAACTAGGGAGTGTGTTGTCTGTGTCACAGCCAGGAACCCTGCACTCTGGTGAGACCACAACACAGGTGACCAGCAGTGAAAAATCTCAAAGCTCACAGCAACTGTGTGGTACCCAGGTTGCTGAATATCATATATGCCATTCATTTTCCAGTTAGCCCAAAAGGAAAACAAACATACTTTCCAAAATACAAGGAAAAACAGGTCATGTATAGCTACCTTGCCTAACATTTATGGAGGCTGAAGTCAGCAAGGTTCTGATCTGAATAACCATGCCCAACCAGCAGGTCACTCTTAAAGGATATAAAAGACCTGCCTAAAGTCTAGTACATCATCACCAATCAATAAGGAATCCAGAGATGTGATGAGGACTCAGTAGCTGACAATCCTTGTCCTCTGGGTGACACACGAGTAGTCTTGGCCACAACATTTGGCACCTGTGAGTATGTAGGTATGAGAACTGAGTCAACGAAACCTGCAAGAGGATAAAGACACTGCAGAGATTTTGAAAAAAAAAAAAAAATCACTTTTCATTTCCATAATAAGATCTCACAGGAGTTTTGTTATACTCAGTCTTACAGTAGTTTCAGGTGCAGTTACATTACAGAAGATATATCTTTTAATCAATTACCATATATCTCATCTACATTCCCTTTCTTGGAGCTTGCATTGACAGAAGGTGAAAAACCTGAAACAAATATCCAGTAGGGTCCCCACCCTAAAAACACCATGAACTGCATATGAAAAATGTTTAGATACTGCAGAGGGTTTGAACAGCAAAGCACACAGTGCTGAAGTAAATAAAAAGTTTTTAAGAATGTAGAAGATCATGTAAAATTTTTCCTTGTTTTCAGTTAAAATTCTTCTGTTTCAAAACAATGTCTTCATGACCTGTGACTTTCAGAAGAGGATACCAAATCTTTTGGTTTAAACTAATATTCAGTTAGAAACAGTTGAATAACTATTTGTCTGCCATGGATTTAAGGTGGGAACCTGCCCTGCGCATGACTCCCGATGAAGCAATGAACCATGCTTGGATCCAGGAACCAAAAATATGCAGAGCAAACCAGAAAACACAGACTTCAAGGAAGATGAGTGATGACTCTTTCTCTACAACAGAACAGAAGAATGAGAATATTCGTAAGCATATGCTACCTGGAGAACTAAATGCACTTATATCAGTGTTTGGTGTTTCTTTATATTTAATATCATCTGTCTGACGTAAGGTAACAGTACACAGTATGTAGATGGGCACTGGAATGTGGCAAACCACTATTTCTCAGTTCTGTAGAAATGCATTACTTATGTTCTATAGCAGCTGAAAACAAGAAGACTGGCAGTACTAAAGATTCACCTAAAAAGATCTTTTTCTTTCCTGAGAGCAAAATAGTTACAGTACCTGACATCACACCATAGTGCACTTCACCTTCAGAGCAAAACAATGCAGCAGTGGTGGTTGTAAGAGCACACAGAAAATGCTCAACTGTGTTTGTTTGGTTTTGTTTTGTTTTTATGAATTTGTGTTGATCAATTATTTATGTGCTGCTATGATTGTTCAGTCTTACCCTATCATTTTATTTATTTACTATTACAGAGAATTCTTGGACAGATACATCTGACAAAGTGAAAAGTGAACTGGCTGAAAGACTGGCTCCAACTGTGCCCTCCAGAAGCACAGCAGAAAATGGTGTGCAGAACACAAGGAAGTATGTTCCAGAGAAACATTTGGAAACCCAAATGGAAAAGGCTACAGGAAACGATCAAGCAGAACATAATGGTGAAACAGCTCTTCCAAAAAATTCTCTTTTTTTCCCACCAATTAAGTAATATGCAATCCAATTAAGTAAAAAGCAATGATTGGTTCATTTGCATACCTGATGTATTTTGTAGGTATTATTTGTACTCAGGAACATAAGCTGTATCTGTCTGTACATGGGCTGTGCACGCTGTAAGTATATTTAATGTTTATCTTACCTTGAAATAGTTCAGGTAACCAGAACAGAATTTGAAAACCATTCCTTTTCCTCATGCAGATCCTTGTGATCAGAGATCCTTCACAACCAGCAGCAATAAAATGGAGACTGTAAAGGTGAAGAGTGGGCTTATTTTTGATGTTATAACAGACTTTTGAATTTCAGATTTCCCTGGATCTGAAAGAACAAATGCAGTGACTGAAGAATCTGAATCCTTTAACTTACACCAGCATAAATCAGAAATAATTCATGGATAGGATACTGGATTAACTTCCATATGAAAAATAAGAGACATCAAACCCAGCATCTTCACTTCCCCTTTTATGTCCCTGATTTTTATAGTGAAGCACTAGATGAAAACCATTGTCACACCTTCTTAGCAGATTTATAAATGTAAATTATGTTCTTAGCTCTTTAGCAGCAACAAAGAAGAGTGGTATTGTGGGCCCACTCCTGCACCAACTCCACTCAGTATTCATATCAACAAGAAGAGTGGATTAAAGCAAGCTGTTTTGATTCAGGAAATTTGTCCCCCACAAGCAGTTAACTTAATGCTGTGAAAAACCCACAAAATGTCTGACTCCTGTGGCTCATATGTTTCATTAATTTAAATGTTTAACTCTTTGGACAATTATCTGTCTTTTCACTGCATTTGTAAAGCACCCGTCTCATTATGACTCTTACACTTTTCTGTGGCTTACAGGTAGTACCACAATTTAAAAGGAAATAATGAGGAAAATTTCCAGAAAAGAATACAGCTGCAACTGTAGCAGTGATATTGCAGAAGCCCCAAGAGAAACAGGTGTTTGTAGGTGTTAAGAGTCACCATAACAACAAACTCCTGTGGGCTCTTTGTGCAAAATGAGAACCCAAAGGACATGAAAATGGTCCTCACAGGGTTCCTCTCACAGTGAACAAACAAGCCATCTGGCAGGGCACAGAGGTGACTATGCTACAAAAGGCCTGTAGTGGGTGTGCTCCCCTACTGAATAGAAACTTAATGGTAACAGTCACCTCAGAGAAAAGGGACTGCACAATGGAGCATGACCATTCTCTTGGCTTCAGGCAAATCCTGGGAATCATGAAGAAACAGCTGGAAGATGAGTGACCCCAGAAGGGTAATGGCCCGTTATGGAGAGTAATTGAGCAGTGAATTATATGAGTACTTTGGCAGACAAATACCACCCTGCTGTGATGCAGACACCACTGACAAGCAGGCCAGCTTGCAGTAGCAGAATTGTCTGTATCCCTGGCTTCAGAAAGACTCACCAGAAATTTTCTCAATCGATCACCAGAATGATGTACCAGGAAAAGTGTGCTCTGTTATGCACTGATTGCACCAAATGAGAATGTGATAAGAGCCCTTATCACATGGCACAGAGAAGGTCTCACCCGTGGTAGGAGCTGAATGAAAGAGTCAGGCTCATTGTCCATTTTAGGGAATATTCAGATAGGTTTCTGTAGATATTTGGAAAATACTTTTGCTGTTTGTTTGCAAGTAGCAGAAGATAAGTGAAGGGTTTATGTTTAATGTGGACTAAGAACAGCAAGAGTACTTATCCTGATACCATGTAACATAAAAGCTCAGATTCCAATACCCTTGGAACTAGTTTGTACTGCTTTGGTTCAAGTGGCTGCTCATTCTCCATCTCTGTTGTGGTACATCCACTTGACTTCTTAGGCTGCTCCAAGTTAAAATATCTGTCTGCTCACAATTGCCCTTGTGTATTTGTTTACTCTGCCTCAGAGGCAAAGTCTTGGGGGGTCAGTTACACCAAGCTGATCTTGATAGCATTGCTTAGGTCTAACGAAGCTGTAAACCTCATCTGATCTGTGGACTCGTATGCAGGAGCCACATTTTGTTCACAATAAATTTCAGTAGCTTTTGTAGTAAGCAGCATCTTATATCTCATGGCATATGCTGAAGGTTTTTCAAGGCATTCAATACTGAGGGAAAAGTGACAAAGCCATGTAAGACTGCAGCTGAGTTGGATTATCCTTCTATTCACAGAAGGCAGATGGATGGCATTTCACTGTAGCTAACTGGTTGCCTTATATTTCCTGTCTTCCCTTCCTTGCTGACCTGCTATTCTTTTTTAATTCCTTCAGCCTCCACAGTGATTTCCACCTTCTAAATGTTTCCTAATAAGGACTCTTAGGTAACTGTTCTATTTTTTTCAGAGATGACAGAAACAAATAGAAATGACTTGGCAGGAGGATCTAGCCCTCAGATATCACTGCTTTCTTGTTCCTCTGCAGAAACATGTAGATCCATCAGATACAGGTAGCATACTCATCTCTGTGCTGGAAGAGGACAACCTTCAAAATGCTGAGAGGAATCCTCTGATTCCCACTCTGCTTGAGCCACCTGCAGACTGGTAGCGGTGCAGACTCACGGAGAAAAGCCAATACTGAGTGATCAATTTACTTAATTGAAAAGCCCAAACCATGCATCATGTTTCTCTATGATGTAATGTCATTTTTTAACCACATTTGTCAGGAAAATGAGGTGGCTGCTTTCTTTTCTGTCTCTGCCCTTTGGTCTGCCTGTCTTCTAGATGGTGTCCTCTTTCCTTGTTAGCTTGTCAACTTATTAACATGTGTTATCTGAGGTAGGCAGAGGAACAGTTTTCTCAGAAGTATTTGCTTCTGTATGCTACAGTTGACAGAGGATTGAGATCGTCTTAGTGTTATTAGTGAGGAGAAGGCAGAAGAATGTGGCTGTGGTCAGTTCTGCTGGCCCACTGAGCAGCATGGCAGCACATGCATGTTTCTGCATCACTGTAGGGGTGTGTTGCCCCTGGATGAGGAGCTGTGCCAGATAAAACCCATTAGGGAATCTGGGACATAGAAAGAGCTGATTATTTTAAAGTGGAGATAACTGGTGTGGGGTGTAAGGCTAGAAGGGGCATCATGGTATGGCAGAGTGCTGGGAAACAGTGTGCTCATGTGAAGCAGTTGCAGGAACCAGCACTGTTGCAACAGTGGGCATTGACAGGATGTCAGAGATAAATCTTTCTGAACTCAAGCTGTGGGAACACAAAGGCTCAGTGAACAAGCTGTTAAACCTCTTCTGTCTTTGAAACTTCATAAAGAAAATGTTGTCTGTAAGAAAAGGATGACAATGCATGCTCCTAGCCCTGCTGCCTTACTGGAATCTAATACATTCTGCAATAACAGCACTTCATCACCCCTCCTAGGAGGCAGACTAAGTATAAATGCACATCATTGCCAGAGCCCAGACCAAACCAGGGGGATCCTAACTCTAAGTCTCTAAATCTTCCTTGCGCTGGGATCCTGAAGTTAGTTCTTTTATCCAGGATTGATGAAGATATCAGCTGCAAGCACTGTGGAACACCACAGTCCCAATTCACATCACGCAGAGGTGCAGCTGGTTGGGTGCTGAACACGGATTTTAGATCATTCATGCATGTTTCAATGACATCTACTGTCACTACTGATTGCCTCTATTCAATTTTGAATGTATTGCTAATGGATTTAATGTTCTGATTGCCTCTATTCAATTTTGAATGTATTGCTAATGGATTTAATGTTCTCCCCTCCAAAAAAAAAAAAAAAAAAAGTGAAAAAAACCATAAACTCAAAAAATTGGTAAAGTGTAAAAAATCATAGAAACATAGAATTGTTTTGTTTGGAAGAGACTGTTCAGATCATAATGTCCAACTATTAACCCAGTACTGCCAGGTCACCACTAAACCATGTCCCTGAGCATCACATCTACACATCTTTTAAATACCTCCAAATACATCTCATATAGTCCACCAAATACATCTCACAGAACAATGTGTGACAGTGGTGAGGTCCCTGTATTCTACCTGGGAACAGAGCTCAAGGTTATAGCCAAATCCAAATAGCCAAAAAGCACCCTGTGTTATATAAGGGTAGAGCTGAGTCATGACAGTGCAGCAGCATTCTAGTACCACACTGAAAAAATGAATGAGTTTAGCAATTACTTCATTGAATCAATGCAGCTAAGAAGCTCTCAGAAAAAAAAAAAGTACAAGAAATCTAAAGCTGAAATTCTGCACCATGCTCCTCCTTGCCCCTGTGTTACATTGTTTTGATTTCATGATGCACAATGTACCCTTAACATGCTGTAACATCTGTGTGAATCAGCAGGGATCATCTACCCTGGGGCAAGGTGATAACAAGGAGTATAAATTATTTGCAATGCTGGCTTTTGTCAATTTATCAAATCTTTAATGTTTGTCAGACTGGATGGATTAGAGCTGTTTGAATTTTTCAGTCTTCAGAGAGACTTAATGGAGAAGCAGAGACTGGTCACACTACAGATTTTTTTTAAAAGCAGCATTGTCATAGCAAAATCCTCAGGATAAATGAATTGAAGAATTATAGTAATTTGTGATAGGTAAAATATAGGAAGTTTTAAGATCTTGGAATTAAATTTTTCCCAATTGTCAGCTCTGTGACCTTGTGCTCCAAGGACATTACTTGCATGCTGTGGGAACCAGTTAACAGGAGTATTGAAGAGGTGAAGTACTAAGAATTATTTCCAACAAAGCTCCCAGTCTTATCTTTTACTTCTTTGTATCAGCACCAGTACCCATATGGCACTGCACTCTATGGGATGGACATAATGCAGATTACACACAGCAAAGTAGATTGCACAATAAAAACAAGCAGGCATAAATGTCTGTGGCCATAGGTGCACATGTGCCCTCCCATTTGTTATGTGAGGTAGCAGAAGCCAACTTACCAGCCAGGAACTGGTTGTCTGGGACCATCTATCCTTCCCAGTGCTCTTAGCTTTCAAACGACAAGCCTGTCAGAAAAATGACTATGCAGACTCTATATTGTTTATATCTGTTCCAA